ATTAAGTGGGGACCGTATACCTTTTCGAAGTGCAATCGGTTGACTAGAAAAAGACGAAGTCCGCAGTAGGAACAAGGTCATGTGGACGACGTGAATCAGCTGAGCCTGATGTTGGACGTGGACGACCAAGACAAGTCAGGAGTGGTGGAGCTGTAGAAGGTTGAACTGGACTAGGTGATGGAACTGAAGTTATGTGTGGTGGAGCTGGAACTGGAGTTGTAGGTGGTGGAGCTGGAGCTGGAGCTGGAGCTGGAGCTGGAGCTGGAGCTGTAGAGTTCATGAATGGGAGATAGTGATTGAATCTCCACAAGATGGAACTGGTAGCACCTCGATCAGAAATATCTAAGTAATTACCTGGACCTGTGAAGTATGATTGAGTTTCAAAGAAGGTAACATTAGCAGACATAAAGTACGCTGGAGGTCAGGTGAATAGCATCGATATCCCTTTTGTGTTCTCGAGTAACCTAGAAATATGCACTTAAAAGCATGGGGAACTAACTTATCTTTTCTTGGAGTAAGGTTATGAAAAGAATACGTGCTCCCAAAGGCATAAGGTGGAAGAGAGAACAAAGGTGAGTAGGTAAATAAGACAAAAAATGAAACTTGATTCTGGATAGTTGAGGATGGCATACGATTAATAAGATAATAAGATGTAAGAACTGCATCCCCCCAAAAATGCAACAAAACATGAGATTGTATGAGTTGGGTACGAGCAGTTTCAATAAGATGTCGATTCTTTCTTTCAACTACCCCATTTTGTTGAGATGTGTATTGACAAGATGTTTGATGAATAATCCTATGAGAGTTCATAAATTGCTAAAATGGGAAAGATAAATACTCTAGGTCATTATCACTATGAAATGTGCAAATAGAAACCCCAAATTGATTTTGAATTTCAGCGTAGAAGGTCTAGAAAATAGAAAATAAATCAGATCGATTTTTCATAAAAAATATCCAAGTGCACCTAGAATAATCATCAACAAAACTAACAAAGTAGCGGAATCCAAAGGTAGAGCTGACCTGACTAGGACCCCAAACATATGAATGGACTAAATTCAAAGGTGACTCTGCTCGATTATCAGGACGCCGAGGGAAATGGGAACGAGTATGCTTACCGAGCTGACATGACTCACATTTTAGAGTGGACAAGTGAGATAAACCATATACCATTTGAAGCTTTGACATACTGCATGTCCCAGCCGTTTATATAATAAATTTGGTGAATTCGTAACGGGAGGAGTTGTTGAAGGAAGATAAGATGTGAATCCATGTGATTTTGCAAGGATAAGATAATAAAGTCCATTTGATTCATGTCTGGTACCAATGATCCGCCTCGTACTGCGTTTCTGTATAAAAACAATGTCATCAAGAAATAAAACAGAGCTTTTAAGCGATTTGGCTAAGCAACTAACGACTATAAGATTAAAAAGACTATCGAGAACATAAAGAACTAAATCTAAAGGTAAGGAAGAAAATGGACTTGCTTGACCTATTCCAGTTGCCATGGTTTGAGACCCGTTGGCCATTGTGACCGTTGGAAGAGATTGAGAGCATGAAATAGTAGTGAAAAAAGATTTGTTACTAGAAATATGATCAAATGCACCTGAATCAATGACCCAAGACTCGGAGGTTGAAGATTGGGAGACACAAGTCACGCTACTATCTGTTTGAACAGCGGAAGCTATTCCTGAAGATGTATGTTTACATGCTTTGTACTGAAGGAACTCAATATAATCCGATAAAGAAACTATCTGGATTGGATTCAATGCATTGGATCCGACGAATTGTGAGTCAAAGGTTTTTGATACGAATGCCATTATAATATTTACGCTGGAAAAGGCAAAATTATTTTTGGGAATTACTGTTCACGTCGGAAAATCATTGTTCACGTCGGAAAAATATAAAAGTGGTCGAAATTTAATTTAAATTGGATGGGTAGGCTCGAAATTGCAAGAAGAATAGATTGTCCTGAAGAAGTTTTGCCAAAATCTTGCCGAAAATAGCCTCACGCGTCGGCGCATAGATGTCAGAGCTTTGCTAGAGAAATTCTTCCGGCGGCGCTTGAGGGCGCGTGATTACTTTTCTGCCGGAGAACTTTTTAAGGGTTGGTCGCCGAACTCTGATCTACTTCTTGGTGGTGTTGGTTTTTGCACAATACTGACGAATACTATTGTTCTTGCAGATTACCTATTTTTACCGGAAAATGGCTTCCGGTCGACTGATTTCTCTTCCCGAAGTCACTGAAATTTATGCATAGCAATAGATTTCTCACGGTTGCTTTGATATCATGTGAGAATGTACAGGAGAAAATAACTTTATTGATATTCTATTAAATCTTTTACATTAGCCCTATTTATAACTATACACAATGTATATTCTACTTCTATTTCATGTGGGACTAGGATTATCTATATAACTATCTAACATAAGCTAATCAAGTAGCTTATGGTTGGCTAAGTATGCAACAAGTTTGGTACAATTCCAACTACAATCTACCAGCAACCTTTGAGGGGCCTTATCAGATGGATAGATTGCAGTTGCCAAGTTAACATTTACCTTTAGATATGGCAACTGAAAAACTTTTTTTGCAAGTTGATTAATTGTAATATAGCATGATTATGGGGTTACTAGGTAAGTGTATATTGTAATTCTAGTTTTTTTCACAAGAGAAATAGAAGAAAAGTGATACGAATGGTGTGATCTACATAGCAACTTGTAAGAGCTATTATCACTTCTAGCCATCCGGAAAAAACTAATGACAATCGGTAGCCACAAATTATAATATATATTTTATAGCCCAAAACTAATTATAGCGGCTAGCCACTGAAATTGACAAATCCAACTATCACGGAAACACAATGGGAGATGACTTTTAATTTATTCAAAGGGAATCGTTCATTATTTTATTTTTTTTGACTTTTGTGCTATTTAGATATTAATATTTTATACATACTTGTGAAGAATATAAAAATAAAACTTTTGTCATAAATGTTACTTTTTGCCTTTTCCTCTATGAGTTCAATATGTGCCCATACTGTAAGTGAGATAAATAATTAAAATTTTAAAAAGCAAAATACTCCAAAAATGGAAGTTACGTGTATTTTGAGGGAAGGATTCAAATTTAGTATTATTTCAATTTATTTATATTTATATTAGGTTGGGTCATTTCTATTTTAATTTGGTTATTATTTGTTAGACTGAAAAATAAAAAATGCTATCGACAAGTTATATTTTTCGGTCATTATGGTTTTTTTGTGAGTTAACTAGCATTTTTTATGATTTTTATGTGAGAAAACATAGTTGTATGACTTTGATTAAAAATAAATCATAATTATATGACCATTTGTGAAATTTATCCTTCACTATCACGAGCATGCCCTCTTTCCAAATATATATAAGCATTTCTTTGCATGGCGAAAATCCTTTATGTAAAAAAAAAAAAAGAGAACTGTCAATCGCTAAAATGCAAGTGTGGCGTTTAGTGTCATTTTCTTTCAAGAAATACCCTAAATAGAGGAGTCGAGTATGAAAATAACATTCGTTAAATTAGTTGTACTCTGTGGTGGAGCAACGTGTGCAAAATATGGTTGCATCATTAATTTGAAAAATACAGTCTTTATTATACAAAATATATACAAAATAGATTGTGATTATACAAAAAATATACTAAATAGACTGTCACTATATAATTTATATACAATAGACTGTCACTATATAAAATAGATTGTCAATTTATATACAATAGACTGTCACTATACAAAATATATACAAAATAGACCGTCGCTATACGAAAAATATACTAAATAGACTGTCACTATATAATTTATATACAATAGACTGTCACTGTACAATTTATATGCAATAGACTGTCACTATACAAAAAATATACTAAATAGACTGCCACTATATAAAATATATACAAAATAGACTATCGTTATACAAAAATATACAAAATAAACATTTCGGGCTAATAGATATAATATGTTTGGGCCGGAGAGACGTTTCAGATCAATGAAAAAAAACATGGGCTATTAAAATTTTGTGAGGCTACCGACATTTTCTCAACTTGTAAGGGATTAGGCCTAGTCCCAGCTCATGTAATTTTTGGTGCTATAATATTTCCACCAGAATTACTGGGTGTTAAATCAAAAAATAAAAAAGAGGCGGGGGGAGGGAGAGAGAGGGGTCCTAAACCTGTAGGCGATGGGGGTTGTTTGACCAACCATGTCATGTTATGATCATCGTATGCTTTGCTAAAATTGTCAATATAATTTTCATGGCATAAAGAGAAATAAGCGAAGATTCCTTTTTTTACTTTGACTTGGACTTTCCTGTTCTAGTTGTTGCTTTTTCTTTCCGTAACTTCGAAGTAGCTGCTTCACTTCAACCACTCAAACTTTTCGATATTAGTATTATTTATTTCTCATCCAAGTAATAGCGTCTTCTTCTAGAAATCTATCTATTTTTAGCATGATTTTGCATGTGGATATAATTTGTCGTGAGATTGTTAAACTTCTTACTAGGACCAGCAAACCCTCGCACATCAAAATGGAGGCATGATAGTATTGTACTCTACTGCTCATGTTGTATGTTGAAATTCTTATACACTATAATCCATAATGTGTGTATTCACACCAATATACCTATTAAAAAAATCAACTCTTCTCAGAATCATCAATTTAACTTAACAATGCCAAATACCTGTCTTCTGCAACAAAATTCCTATGCTCACAGCGGTCAGCAAGTCAGAGCCAGCATATAGAATAGTGATTGACGAGCATTCAAGTTAATCGTAAGTTTAAGCGGATGCTCTCATTGTTTACAGGAGCGCATTCTTGACTTAAATAGGCAGCCGATCATATTTAGGGAGGCGGAACGACTCGAGTGGCTTACCTATGCTCTTTCTTGTGTATTTCTGTCTTAATTCTTCTTCTTTCCTTTTTACTTCTCCTTTGTGTTTTTCCCTCCTGGGGTCAATATTTTACCAGCTGCAACGTAAATTAGATAAAACTCCTAATTGAAGAATAAATACATTTTCCTACATGAAGTTAAATAAACTAAAATACATATATTTAACTTTATAACAAATATAAGATAAAACAATAAAACAGCTAAACAATATATTCTAAATGAAAAATGAAAAGAATAAATACACAATATAACAAAATTAAATTTGCTAATAGTGGCTGATTTTATCAACCCTTTGTTAGTTGATCCGCCAACTTGTTTTGTTCCTTGTAGTTTGCATTCATCAAAGGTTCTCCCCAGCTTGTCTAGCTTACCTGCAATCATAAATAATGTTAGAATAATGTAGAAGTTTGTGTCATGGATAAAGTTAGTTTATGCCAATTTCCAAGGGCATGAAGGGCGATACTGCCTACTGATAATAGGGCAACGAAAACATTTTGTGCATTCCACTAGAATCTTATCTAACAGTTGTCAAGTTATAACAAGATTATCTTTGTTCAAGGGAAGGTCATATTTTGAGCTAAAACAAAATGTACTTCAGAACAATAAGTTTAATTTAGTTTGATGAATTTTGTCCAAGGAGCGTGAGATATGTCATGGGCGAGCCATGCCCCATGACCCTTTGGACGCGTCCCATGGCGTCCTACCAAGCCGCCCAACGCCTAGCACCATGGACCCCGTGGCCTTGGCTGCGCCAAGTGACAAGCGTGCATGTGCCTCTGTCGCCCCACCGATAGCCCTCGCCAGCGCCCAGCCGCAGGCAGATACCAAAAGCGCCGCGCGCGCAGACCATGATGCCAAAGACAAGGTTGCTGACAACGGACCTATTTCTACCTTGTAGAAAACTAAGTCTTTTTCATTGTAAATATAGAGTAGTTTTATTTCATGTACTTCCATTATGTTCCTCTAGCTTAGTTAGGCCAAGTCATGTAACTTGGGTTTATTTAATCATTATTAGGGTGGATCAAGCAATCAAACTTTCTAGATGGCAAGCAATTCTCTGTACTGGTGTCTCTCCCCTTGACACCGTGTTGCTTTTCTGTAATAGTTTTCATTAATGCAATCAAGCTTTCTTTTATTCTCAATTCTCTTTTCTGTTCTCTCAATTGCTCTTGACATTGGTTTTCCCGTACGGCACTGACAATCTAGTCTAGCGTATGGAGGGGACCTCAGTTGGCGGATAGTAACTACAGGGACATCGGTTGCTTCGCCTTACGTCGCCCTTCCAAGGAATCTCAGGAAGGCGCCGCGTAATAGTTGGTATAAGAACTTAGGCTCGACATTGGACGAGGGAACACATTGCTATTACCACCATTTCTGACCATGGTGAATCATGGGACCGCATTGCAGACGGTTGACGTATTACGATCCATCGTGGATACGGTGCCTGAACTAAGAACCAACCTAATGCAAATGTTGGACGACCTGGATCGCAGAATGCTCCAGGCCGAAGTTGACATAGAAAACATTAGTCGCGACTCTGAGGGAGACTGGCAAACGGCAGCCACAGAGGCAGCCAAAACTTTTGGTAAATTTGAGGGCCTCCAATAGGAGCGTGCCGAGGATTTAACCTACAGGGCATAAAGGTGACTGCCATGCAACAAACTATAGACAACTTGACAGGCCAGTTCAATGTTGCCAATGCTGCGCTACAAGGCCTGCTTGGAGGAGGCGAAAATCAAATTGGGGATGCTGTGAACCTCGCCCCCGTGGCACAAAAACTGAAAATTCATGAGCCAAAGCCATACAATGTAGCTCTGAATGCCAAAGAAGTGGAAAACTTCATCTTCGACATCGAACAATACTTCGATGCCGTTGGGGACCTAGAAGAAGCGAAGAATGTAGCAACTACTGCCATGTATCTTCAGGGTGATGCTAAACTCTGGTGGCGGGTGAAGTACGAAGCCATCAAGGCCGGTGAAGATACTCTCGAGACATGGGCAGAACTGAAGGCAGCCATACGCCTACAGTTCTTCCCCGAAAATGTTGAGTACAATGCAATGAGAAAGCTACGGGAGCTCTGCCAGACCAAATCAGTGCGGGATTACGTGCGAGAATTCTCCGCGCTCATGCTGAACATACGAGACATGGGGGACAAAGACAAACTCTTCACATTCCAAGAAGGGTTGAAACCTTATGCCTATATGGAGCTGCAAAGACAGGGTAGACACTTTACCTAAGGCAATACAAGCAGCGGAGTGCCTTGACGACTATCAAGTGGAAGCTCGGAAGGATAGGCCTCAACAGCCTGCCCGAGGGGGATACAAAGGGGGCCAACCTAACACTAGTGGCCCTAACAGAAGTGGAGGAGATCGGAGTGCAACTAAATCTAAGGCTCCCTCCTTAGGCAATACTTGTGTTGCATCTAACAACGACGATCGGGGGAGAAAACCCCCTTTAGGATGCCATCATCGCGGCGGGCCACATTGGAATAATGAATGCCCGCATGCACAGATGAACGCCCATCAAGCTTTTGATGATGGGACAAATGACGACGCAGATGATGTCGACCAGACCGAACCCGTAGGTGCCTTCAATGCAATAGTTGGCTTTATTTCTAAAGCCTTAGCGGGAACCAGTGTTGGTATCCGTAAGGACCCATGCCCAATCACCAAGAAAGGGAAAAAGAAGGCGGATGAGAAGACTCCTCATGTTCGTCGAGATGAAGGTGAATGGCAAGCCCATTCGAACGATGATAGACACGGGTGCTACCCACAACTACTTAGCCTCTACTCAGGTAGAGCGCCTTGGTCTAGTTGTAGGAAAGGGCAGAGGTCGTGTCAAGGCTATCAACTCACCGCCTCAGCCAGTGGGTAGAATAGCCAAAGAAGTACCAGTGAAGCTAGGCCCTTATGAAGGAAAATTCAACTTGCGCGTGGTGATCATAGATGACTTCGAGTTGATAGTTGGGTTGGAATTCCTGAGATAAACCAACACCATGCCCGTACCGTATGCCGACATGCTACTGATGATGGGAGCACACGGGGCCAAGCCCTGCATTATCCCGTGTATGCCCATAAAGATGGCAGCTGAGAACATCTCGACCTTACAGTTGAAGAAGGGGGGTCAAAAGACATGAAACTACGTACCTAACAACCTATGTATTGAAGATATAGAACGCTCCTCGGGTCCCATTCCTGCACCCGTGAAGGAGCTGCTACTAGAGTTTTAAGACGTCATGCCACAGGACATGCCAAGGGACTCCCGCCCTAAGCGCACTATGGACCATGAAATTGAGTTGGTGTCGGGTGCGAAGCCACCCGCCCGGGCGCCTTACAGAATGTCACAACCCGAACTCACCGAGCTTCGGAGACAATTGACGAAAATGCTAGACACATGGATCATCGTGCCCTCCAAATCCCCGTACGGATCCACTGTGTTATTCCAAAAGAAACATGATGGCAACCTACGACTCTATATGGATTATCAGGCTCTAAACAAAATCACTGTGAAGAACAAGTATCCTATTTCGCTAATGGCAGACTTGTTCGATAGGCTGGGTGGTGCGACGATGTTCACCAAAATAGACCTGAAGACAGGTTATTGGCAAGTTCGGATTGCGGAGGGTGACTAACGCTCCAACCACATTTTGCACCCTCATGAACCATGTCTTCTGTGAGTACATTGACGAATTCGTGGTGGTCTACTTGGATGACATTATGGTATATAGCCAAACACTGGAAGAACACCTGGAGCACTTGCGGAAGGTGCTAGGCTGATTGCGGGAGCACGAATTATATGCAAAGCTATCCAAATGCTCCTTTGCTCAAAAACAAATTGAATTCCTCGAACATGTCATCGAGGAAGGGTGAATCAAAATGGACAAGCAGAAGATTCAGGCTATCACAGATTGGCCGCCGCCTAAGGATATCCATACCTTGAGGGCGTTCCTTGGCCTATGCAACTTCTATCGGCGATTCATGAAAAATTACTCCCTCATCGCGGTGCCATTGACAGAACTCCTAAAAAAGGCTACGCCTTGGGATTGGGGACCCAGGCGAGCGGAGGCCTTCGACGCATTGAAAACGGCTATGTCTAGTAGCCCCGTCTTGGCCTTCCTTGATTTGGCCAAGTCGTTCGAGGTACAAACGGATGCCTCAGACTATGCCCTTGGCGGGGTCTTGCTACAAGAAGGGCATCTAGTAGCGTACGAGAGCCGGAAGCTGAAGGATGCAGAGCGGCGCTATGCCTCCCACGAAAAAGAATTATTGGCTATCGTCCATTGCTTACGCCTTTGGAGGCACTATCTGCTGGGAACCCCGTTCGTGGTCAAGACAGACAACACAACGGTTAGCCATTTTATGACCCAACCAAAGTTGAATGGCCGCCAGGCCCGGTGGCAGGAACTCTTAGCAGAATTTCACTTCAACTTGGAGTACCGAAGTGGGAAGACTAACCAGCTTGCTGATGCGCTCAGTCGGAGGGCTGACTTAGCATCGGTGTGCCTACTTGCTACCCTAAGGGGGAGCGAAGTAGCCACCACTATAAAAGACCAGATACATTGTTAGTTTACAGATATGCATAGTGTAGTCTTGTCCCACATTGTAATAGGATGTATATAGCTATAAATAGGGACCTCTTGTATTGTATTTATCATCCAATATTAATAACATATTTTCTCCCGTGCCTTCTCACATGGTATCAGAGCATTAGTTTGAAAAGATCGTTGTGCGTCATTCCGGCGTTAACCAGGAAGAAGGTACTTAGTCATCGTATAATTTTTCCGGTGACCTAAGGCTTGTCTAAGTGAAAGTCATTTTCTGTCGGTGTTGTGCTAAAACCAACACCACCACGAGGTAGATCACCCTCCGACGACCAACCCTTGAAATTTTATCCGGCAGAAAAGCCGCCACGCGCCGGCAATAACTTTTTCGGCGAGGGTTCCGGCCTTTTTTTTGCGAAGCTAGATTTTGGGTTGAATTAGGCCCGAAGTCCATTTATCGTGGTATCAGAACTTTTTCGCGAAGCTAGCTTTTCAGGACAGCTTGCTCGCAAAGGAATTCCGAGTCTATCCATCCTGGTAACGACAAATTCCGACTTTGGAATTTTCCGGCGAGCTACAGTATTTCCGGCGTGAACAGTGTTTTTCAAGCTAGAACAATGTTCTCTTTTCCTGCTGTAAACAGTGATTTTCAAGCTATTTCTTCAGTTTTCAAGCTATTTCCCATGTTGTAGCGACATGGGAACCGATACTTTGAATAGTCGGATGGTATTTTTAGCAAATTATATTGAGTTCATTCAGTATAAAACATGTAAGCAGACTTGACTTGTTTCTCCTAATCTTCATCCTCTGAGTCTTGGGTCATTGATTCAG